TTCTTTGGTTTCAAATCATGAACTCCAGCCCAAATAACTGGCTCAAAATTGCACAAAGTACTAAGGTTCGCAGCTGAAGCTTTTCATCAAAATAAACCATCTGGTGTTTTCCTCTTTGAAACCTACCTAAGTTTGAAATCACTGATTGTTTAATGAAATCAGACCTCATGTCAGTTCCAAAATCTAATCACAAAACTTTCTACGGCTCAATTGACAAGACAACTTGCCTGCTATCCTTGGAGCTTGAGTCCTTTTGACCCTTTGAAGACGGTATGACAATCCTTTCATAGTCTGCTTTTCTGGTTTTTGCATGATAGAAACCTGTGAACAGCCATACGACACCGGCCCATGCTACGCCTTTGAACTGAAGTGGTTCTTCGACATTGAATACCAGCGTTGTGTGAACTTCTGGTATGGCGGCTGTGAAGGCAATGCCAATCGCTTCGACTCGGAGAAGGAATGCCAGTCAGTCTGCACCATACAACAGGAGCCTATGACGCAAGAAGGTATGGGACAGTGGACCCATCCATCTAGCCCTGCCCTCTGACCACGCGGGCAGTTGTCATGTATTTCTCTCCCACTGCTTTCTTCCCCCAGTTCCATGTTGAATGTTTTCGGACTTTTTTGGCATGTTTGTCAGACCTGCGTGTACATCACAGCTGTGATTGGCAGAAAGACCATGGGTGGGGCTTAATGGATTGGTCTGTAGGGATCTTTCCGAAAGCCAACTCCAAGAATTCCAGCCTCCCATGGCCACGATGGCCACCTGCCAAACTGCAAATTCTCAGTTTGTGGCCCAGTGTGCTCTGCATGCTTTGAATCACACGGTGAAAAGGCTAATTGTTCGGTGGCATACGGCTCTACTCACGCTTCCACATTCCCGTTGCCTCTTTCAAAGTGAGGACTATTGTGAAGCTGGTGATTATGATGCAAAATCGGTCTTTTCATTTCTGGGCTACACACAAAGACCAATTACCCTATACACAAGAGCCAGGGTCTGCCTTCTTTCACCGTGTTCGCTCGAGCTTGGGCCGAGAATAATAGCTGAAAAGCGGGCTGAGGATCTCAATTTTTACGGCGGCTATAGGCGCCTCCCGGTGCAAAGGGGTTACATATTTCACACATCGATGCTAAGTAATGATAAAAGGGCCTTTTTACAAGTCTGTTCTGGAATTCTGAAAGTCAGTACCTGTGTTTATTTCACTGCAGAGATGTGTTCACTCCCTCCGGAGGTTGGGCCGTGCAAGAAGAGCATTGAAAGCTACTACTTCAACCCCGAGACAGGCCAGTGCGAGAGTTTCACTTACGGGGGATGTCACGGCAACATGAACAAGTTCCGGACTCCAGAGGAATGCGACATCAAGTGTGGCACCCTGAACAAAGGTAGACTGCTGTGATGTGGGATTTGTTTTGACGCTGGAGGGGCTCACAGCTCTTGAGGCATGGCAGACATCATGTTAAGGAGTACATACAAGGAAATGAACACCACAAGAACTTCAACTGTTGGCAAAAAAATTGCAGCGCTTCATAGTTGATTATATTACGTATGCAGTGTGGTTGATCCACTAGAGTTTTTATTATAAATTATTTCTGGTAATGATACCAAGGATTCCTTAAACGTGCCCTAGGCACTGTAGCTCGCAAGCCTGAAGAAACCTTTCGAGAGGAGACAATGAGAAGCAGTTATAGGTTTAGAGGTGGGAGGAAAACCCGAGAATAATATTCTGAATAAAACCCACAGAATTAGGTAAGGACTGAAAATCACATGTGAACCGAGCCAGGATTCGAACCCAGACCACAGAGGTGGAAGGTGAGGAAAGAACCACTGCACCAACCTGGCTCCCCCGACTGTTATCAACTCTATACTGTATAGGGGAAAGTGGCAGAGGTACAGTGCATATGAGTGGTCACTGCATTATGATCAGCTCAATCAATATGTGTTCATATTGACTTGAGTGAATATGTGTTCGCAAATCAGCAGAGCAAAATCCTTAAACTGAGTTGCAAGACAGACTGAGTTACATGGATACAGTATGTGGTACTGTGCCTTTTATGTCACTTTCAGTTTTCCTCTTAACACTTAGCGCCGGGTCATTTATCAATGTTGCTGATGCTGGGCCTGCATAATTATCATTTTTTCTGTTTTCAAAATTCTTCAAAAATTCAACATTTCATTTAACGGACGTTTATAGCCGCACGAAGTCATCTTTAGGCACTACTCTAAGTTGACA